TAACTCAACATTCTCAAACAGTATGCTCCACACAAATCTCTAACACACTAACAATCCTTTCTTACTTAATCATTCTGCAAATTATTCACATTAATCTTATTTCAACAGGCTTTGTGCCATGTTTTCTTACATTAAATTTTTTTTAACTTTTCAATTACAGTTAACATACAATATATTAGTTTTAGGTGTATAATCCAGTGATTACACATTATATAACTTACATCCTAATATTTCCAGTACCCATCTGACTCCACATACAATTACGATATTATTGACTATATTTCCTATGCTATACTTTATATCCCATGACTATTCTGTAATTACCAATTTGTACTTCTTAATCTCTTCACCTTTCACCCATTTCCCTAACTCCTTCCCATCTGGCAACCATCAAAATGTTCTCTGTATCTATGAATCTGTTTCTGTTCTGCTTGTTTGCTTTGTTTTTTTTAAATCTATCTTGTCTGGTATAAGTACTAATACCCCAGCTTTTGTTTCCTTCTATTTTCATTAAATATCTTTTTCCATCCCTTTACTTTCAGTCTGTGTGTCTTTCGATCTGAAGTGAGTTTCTTGTATATGACAGCATATGAAGGGGTTTTGTTTTGTTATCCATTCAGCCTCTATATTCAGTCTTTTGATTGAAACATTTAATCTTTTCCATTTAAAGTAATAGCTGATAAATGTGTACTTATTGCCATTTTATTATTCATATTTTTTCTTTTCCTATTCTTCTTTGTTTTCATATTCATCTGAAAGAAGACCCTTTAACACTTCTTGTAGTATTTGTTTGGTGGTGATAAATTCCTTTGGATTTTTCTTGCTTGCAAAATTCTTCATCTGTTCTTTGATCCTAAATGATAGCATTGCTGGGTAATCTTGGTTGCAGGTCTTCGGTTTTCATTACTTTGAATATTTCTTGCCAATTCCAAATGGCCTGCAAAGTTTGTGTTAAGAAAAAAGCTGAAAGTCTTACGGCAGCTCCTAAGGAGATAACTTTTCTCATGCTTCTTTTAAGGTTCTCTCTCTGTCTTCAACCTCTGGCATTTTAATTATAATGTATATTGGTGTGGGTCTCTTAGGGCTCTTTTAGTTTGGGACTCTGTACTTCCTGGACTTACATGTCTATGTCCTTCACCAGGTTGTTTTTCATCATCATTTTTTTCACATAGGTTTTCAATTCCTTGCTGTTTCCTCCTCCCATAACCATAACCTCCATAATGCAAATGTTAATATGCATGAAGTTGTCCCAAAGGCCCTTATCCTATCCTCAATTTTTGGATTCTTTTTATTTTTGCTATTCTGATTGGGTGTTCTCTGCTGTCCTATGTTTTCTCTCTTTAAGTTCTAAGTTCACCTATTCTTCCCCTAAGTTCATTGATCATCCTATAACTAGTGTTTTGAACTCTGCATCTAATAGGTGGCTTGTCTTAATTTTGTTTAGTTCTCTTTCTGGAGTTTTCTACTGTTCTTTCATTTGGGCCATGTTTCTTTGTCTCCTCATTTTGGCTGCTTCCCTGTGTTTGTTTCTATGTATTAGGTAGAGCTATGTCCCCCAGGCTTGGTAGAGTGGCCTTATAAGCAGGTTTCCTATAGGGTCCAGTGGCACAGCCTCCTCTGTCATGTGAGCTGGGCACTCCAGGTGCTCATGTGGGCTGTGTATACCCTCCTGTACTCGAGACTTGTTCGCTGTTGGTACCTCAATGGGAGGGATTTACCCCGAGGGTAATCGGCTGCAAGAACAGGCTGCAACCACTGTGGAGGATCAGCAGGGCAGGGGTGGGCCACAGAGAGTAGGACTTAGCATTGCCTGCTGCGTTCACCCCTTGAGTATATTGCTTGTGGGAGGATGTTGGGTGAAGCTTCAATGTGGTCTGAAGCTGTCCACCAGGCATGTTGGCTCTGGGTCCTCCTGGAGGGGCAAGCCAGGTCAGCCGCTGCCGATGCCCTGCCGGGGGCCATTGAGCATGAGCTACCAATGCTCACAGCATGATCTGCAGATGGCTGATGCTTGTGCTAGGCTTGGGGGTGCTCAGGGAAGGCCAAGGTACAAACCAAGGCCTGCTGCTGTTAATGTCAGGCCTGGGGCCACCTAGCAGTAGGTACATGGCACACAGACTAGATGCTTCTTGTTTGAGAGATTTTAGAATAATCTGAAGTGGAGCCATTTCTATGCAAGATAGGCCATTTGTATGAAAGTCACTGGAAACGGCTTGGGTGGGCCCACAATTTGGGTGGGACAGGGCCTCAGGGAATCACCAGGGCAGAACTAAGTGTCAGCCAGGTTGATGGAGGCTCAGCTCAGAAAAGGAACTATGGCCTCTTTCAGCATTTCTGCCTGGGAGAAAGCTGCCCTTCCAGCTCTTGCCCCAGTGCCTGACAACTCAGTTTCTTCCCCTGTGTCCCTGGTGCCTGTCGAGCTGCTGCCCCAGTGCTGAACTGAGGGCAAGTAAATCCACGTGCAGGCCTTTTAAGAGCAACACTTGGGACTCCAGAAGGCCTCTAATTCAGCCACAATCCCTACTAGTTTTTACAGCCAAGTTATGGGGACTTCTCTTCCCAACACTGGAACCCTGGGCTCTGGGGCCTGGTGCGGGACTGGAACCCTGGGCTCCTCAGGGTGTACCTCTGCACCTGAGACATCCCTCCCAATTTTTATCCGATACACATTGGTGTGGGACCAGCCCGATCTGAGTCTCTGCCTGTGCTACCAGTGTCCTTGTGGCTTCCTTTTTATATGCTTAGTTGTAGGATTTCTTTTCAGCTAGACTTATGGTGGTTCTGAATGAATAGTTTTTCTATAGCCTAGTTGTAATTTTGGTGTGGTTGTGGGAGGATTCAAGTACCGCATACACCTACACCACTATCTTGATGAGACCACATCTTTGTGTCATCATTTCATTATTTCTCTTCTGCTGATGAAAATTACAATCCATCTGAGAAAATCAAGTTGTATGCCCAATGGACCTGTTATTAACCTGTCAGACTTAGATTTTTCTAGGTGATTTCCTGCACTCTAACAATCAATTTAGCAACACAAAATACATATCCAATTCTTGTTTTTTTTAACACAGAAAAGCAAAATTTAGCCAGAAGTCAAATAGTGACCGAGAGCATCATAAAATTAATGAAAATCTAAAGGGGAATGTGTATGTTGATACTTTCTCCATAGTCTACTTTTCAACTTTTGCAAACATATTTTCAGGTAAGCCTGCACACCTATTATATTTGACATTTTGTTTATGGCCTTGTTACTTCTTTCTGCTGTAGACATCTACATTATTCATAGGTACCAACATTAACATTTTCCTGATCTTTCCTAATACCAATTTCTCAAGGAATGGTTCAATTGTCAATAAAAACCTATCAATTCTGCTATGATTTTGCACTCAGCCACACCCAAGATGACCATTCACAGTACCTGTAACTTTGGTTTTTCTCCATATGAATCCACAACAGCTGCCCTCAAAAACAGTAGGTCTTCAAGCACAGAGATTAAATTAAAATGTGCTTACATTTTTTATTTTTAAAGTAATTTAAAATACAGTGTAAATATACATCAAATATATTGTGGCAATTCAGATTAGGAGTAACATGAGGTTATTTACATGTTTGTGTAAGTATGTATGTGTGTATATATACACACACATACAAAGTGCAGATAAATACAGAAACACTACAAAATAAACAAAAATTTCAACAAGATAAGTTACTCACAATCATTCTCATCATATTTATTAATTTGTCATGTTAATGGCTGGAAAAGAAATTCCTAGTACTGAAATATGATTATCTAAATATTCAACTTTTACATAAACTATAGTACCTCAAATTTTAACAGTATATAAATAGAATTCTGAATTTAAAAAACAGTCTTCTTCCCTGACAAACTCCCTATATATTTGTACAGGTTTCAGCTCAGAGTTCAAGAAGACTCCTGAAATCACAGCTCTCAATATGTGGTGATATCTCAGATTTTAAGCATAAATCATGTGTAGGCAGTGGGCTCTGTACAAAAAAGACGTGACTGAGGATACAGAGGCAGATATAAAAACTGCAACAATGCTGCCATATGCAAAACAATGCACATTTTAATCTAAGAGACAGCGGATTCAAGGCAAAGCTGGGTTGTTCTCAGCCTCGGAAGGGTAAAGACCATGGGAAATACTGCTGAAAAGTGGCAGGAAATACAAAAGGGGAGATGGTCTTCTAATTAAGGTGGTCTTGGCACCTTCAGCCCCATCCACCTCCAACACTTCAGTTCCTCATGTAGCCCTGTACGCTATCATCTATGATGATGGAGGGTTATCTGTACTGTAATAATGGTAAATGGGCCTTGCCTTCTGGGACTCTTCAGTAAACTCACAGACTCCATCTCTCCCAGTAGCATCAAGAAATATTCAGCTCTGAACCTGGCATCTCCCTCATGAGTGCCAGCGGGAGAAGGGATCACCTATTAGACTCCCTACCTCCTACAACTCCTTCTGAACATGGGCCTAGAATTTGCAGATCAGTTTTCTGCCAATGGCTTGCTGAGTGCTGTCAACATTCTTATTTGAGATTCCTTATTTAAAACAGTGGATGCAGCTGCCCTACAAAAAATGAAAAATTCTGTTTATTGATTTGATCCTCTAAAAGTCCATGTCATTAATAAATCTGGGTTTGTACAAAGTTACTACCAAGTAGAACCTGCACATTGGAAGCAGGAAGATATTAGTGATAATGGATGGATATGATGACTGTGTAGAAGATGTGAGACTGCTTGATAATTACCTGAGTTAAGTCTGTGGATCAACAGGAAACAGCCAGGGTATATACTATTCAGAAAGATTAACCTCATTTATAAAATGTGTTTGATTTTGGAAAATAACGAAGAAAGGTAGAAGGCAAAATTAAACGGCAATTTCTATCCTAAGCGAAAAACATCTATTAGTCAAGAGCAAAATAACTTCTGAACAATTGTCAAGTTTCTGTTTTATTTTTCTGTAACAGGAGATATTTTTTGGGGGGGTCCCATCCAGTGTTTTTAGCTCAAAGTAACAGCTGCAAATTATAAATGAATTGTAAAACCAAAGAACAAAATCTGTTCCTGAATTGCCCTGCTTCTAACTTCAGTCAAATCTTATCGATTAAAACTTCAAACAAAAACACAACTTGAAGAAGCACTTTAGTAGCTTGTTTAAAAAAAAAACCCAAAAAACCTAAATTGGGGTTTTAAATGCTAATGAAAGTACCCTCAATACATAATGTAGGAGGGTCACTACAAATTGCCATTGTTTGAAGAAAGGCTCTACAGGGCTCCTCTACCCCAGTGTCAATGTGGATGATATCCTTTCTCATGTCAGACACAGACCAAAGAATGAGGCTGGGAGTGAGGTTTACAGGGTGTGAGCTTCACGGGATTAAGGTGGCAGGTTTATATTCCTTACAACACAGGGGAAATGTAAAAAGCATGCCACAGTATGTAAAACAAATATCTAGAATAAGAACAAGTCATTATGTATCTTTATTCTTCCTATTTGGGAATCTGGATTGTTTGGGATTGTAAGGTACCTTTTTTGTTTCTCTACCATCCCTTACAGGGCCAGCAATCAAGCCGTTGTTGAGGAACCTGGTTACACTCATTCATATTTGAAAGCACAGAGTGCTGGTACAATTAGCAAAACCACTCACATAAAACAAGCAGAAAGCACTTCCTCATACTTCATGGACTTTACAGGAATACAAATATTATTCTACAGTTCGGGCATATATATTCACATAACACAACAGAAAAAGCCTTCAGTTCACAGACTAATTTCTTTAAACTTGGTAGTTATGGCACAGTAAGAGTCACTTGTTAAATACATAAGTGTTTTGTTCTTGGTGATAGTTTTACATGACACAGGATGACTGACTCAACAATCTCATCTTCATACTGATTATAGTGTAACCAATGGTTAGGGTGTCCACATTGCATATTTGGAGTATGTGGATGTAGCAATTCTAATATAACTTAATGTTTCTGGAAAGCTAAGGTTTCATTACTGAAGTGCTATTACAATTTTGAATGCGATCTTCCAACAACAGGCATTACTTTCTTGTTTTACTAATATTGTGATTCAGTGCACATATCCTGATTTTCCCAATGCTCATAAATAAAACCTTATCTGTAGGAAATTTATTTCTTGAGAAAAGCAGCTTTAATCTATCTCCAATACAAGATCATGACTTGGTTACACGTGTAATTGGTATGAAGAAAAAAGCGCCATTCTCACAAATCTTATAGATTAAAACTTCAAACAGAAATGCAATTTGAAGAAGCACTTTTGTAGCTTGTTTCAAAATAAAAGGGACTACAGCAAGTCCTGCCACAAGATATGCCTCACCAGGAGAAAGAGCTTCACACCCACATGGTATACAGCAAAAGCTTTAATTCCTGACTGAGCATCAGGGGAATTAGCTCACAGACAACTCAGAGGCAGGAACACTGTGGTCTGTGTTAAAATAAAATGAAGGGTGAGATTTCCTTATGCAGCAAGTGAAGTAGAATTCTGAATCTCCTTTTGGAGTCAAGTTGGTCTTTGGCAGAAAATCAATTTGCTTTAAGAGGTTGTAATCTGGTAGGATGCCAGACAACGGCAAGGGTGCTTAAACTGAGTGTTGTACAGACTAAGGAACTGGTACACTGGAAAGACAACCTTCTGTTCCAGCAGAGGGTAGTTGAAGGTGTCAACAAAGCTATTATCACTAGTAATGGCCACCAAGGATCTAGAGATCGAGAAGCTTTAGCAACACCCCATTATTGTGTACAAAAATGGACAGCAGGAGGCAAAGGGAAAAAGCAACATTTATCAGATTTTTTCATTATATTACTAATTTTTATAACATTAAATATTTTTCATTCCAATGCACTGATATTTATTTCTGGTTGTGACTCCACCTACTGCTATTCTCTTTGTTTTTAAATTCTACACTCTTATTACATTTTTAATTTTAAAAGCATAAATGTTCCAAGGCATAGTTGTGTACACGCGTATGTGAGGGCGTGTAATCTATTAACTCTAAAAATATTAATTTAAAGTAAAAGAGATTGAGATTACAGGTTATAGTATCACATAAAAAGAGTTTTACACAGTCAATACCTGAGTGTCTGTACAGTGGAGAACTCTGAAGTAAGGGTAAAACGGAGCCCCGTGGGCCAGCACTGTGGCTGTCAGAGGGCAGGTAACCAGCTTTTTGGAATCTCGAGAAGAAAGGCTCTTTGCCACATGCAAATAGTTATAGAAATAATACATCAGAATTACTGAGATAATAGAAATAAAGGTTGATGCGTGACCAGATGTTGAAGGTATATATAAATGGGTATTAAATTTCTATATTCTATAAATTCAGTGGAATTCCTAAAAAAATCATGTACATATTTTATTCCTGCTAAAAATGATAAAAACCATTTTAAAATTGTGTGGTTTAAATAATTTAAGAATGCTGTACCTTTACGTTTAAATTCTGTTTAAGCATAGACTTCAGAAGGCATGGCTTCTCTAGTAGTGTCTTAAAACGTTATCATTTGTAGAGAATTTCTCATTAACCAGAATTAGGTATTAATAAAATTCTTTGACACTTTAGTGTTACAAGTAGAATTTAAGTTGTGTGCCTTGATATTACACTTCTAAATTGTTTTTCTCTTATGGTAACTATACTCTAGTGATGCCATTATAATGCTACTAGCAGAGGATATGTGTGTATGATTTATCAGTATTTATATGTTAATGTAATAAAATTTCATAAAAACCCCAAAGTTATAAGGATACTTTTACATATCCTCTAAACGAGGGGTCAGCAAACCATGAGTCACGAGTCACATTTGACTTGCCACCACCTGTTTTTGTATGACCCATCAGCTGAAAACAGCTTTTAGATTTTAAAATGGATTTTAGAAAGTCAAATAAGACTATTTTGTGTCTCATGATAATAAGATCTTCAAATTTCAGGGTCCATATAGAAAGTTGTATAGGCACATAGCCACGCTCGCCTATTTATTTACTGTCTACGGCTGCTTCCTGCAGGACGGCAGAGATAAGTGTTGTGATGGAGTCTACCGGGCTTGCAAAGGACAAAATGCTTACTATTAGGCCTTTACAGAAACAGGTTGCTGATCCCTGCTCAAAGTCTATGGAAGGTGTCTGGAATTTTGGATGGAGTGTTCAAAGTGGACTCAGTGTATGACTTAATTTGGCTTCATTTACAGACATCACACATCATATACATCATTGCTTTTGAATATTATAATCTACTTGGTAAACAAAAATAAAGTTACATTAAAAAAAAAACTTATTTCCTTGAAATGTTTAGGACCAGCAAAACAATCATGTATAAGAGCAGTATATTTTTAAGAAAAAATAATAAATGAACAATTTAAATACATTTTTAAGTCATGATTTCAAGGTTCCTCAGAGAAAGCCAGAGAGCTAAGGACAGATTCCAAAATCCTTGTATCAGACTTCTGCTTTTCAAATTTTTGGATGTAATTGCTTATACAGTATTTGAGATTCTCAATTGTAATGGAGGAAACATGTGGAGAGTTAGTTATCAAAAAGAAAGATACTTTTAAATAAGAAACCAGCTAAAAAATAAAAAGAGTGGCAAACAATTTAACCTTCTCTTTTCCTTTTCCATTAGTAGGGAGCTACATAGTCTGCTGGTGTAGGACTTGATAGAAATTGTCTGTTTTCATTTAGTGGGCTGATCCCCATATCTGTGTCAGATAAAATCATAGCACTTATTATTTGTTACCATGGATACCATGAAGATACTGCCATCCGCTAAATAACATTAGAGGAAGACAACATAATTTTCTGGGACTAGTCCTGTTTTGCCTTCATAAGTTGCCTTCAACCATCCTGGTTCCACTGATGGGTACACTGGCAAAAAAAATAAAAAGTGAATGTCACGCAGTCAACATTAGCTTCAAATAATTACATATACAAATAGGCAAGAATCTACATCAGACTACATGCACCCACTTGTCAAGACAATGTCACAGCACCTTTAAAGCTGGGAATGTCCTTTACATTCCTGTAATCAATCCATCAGCCACTTTCTCTCATCGTCCCTGCACCCTTGATTCCGCCCCCCTCCCCCCTCCCATGCACCGGGTAGGAAACTGGGGGCCAGAGGAATTTGATGGAGGTCAGGAGAGGCAGGGTCTGAACGAGGCTCTGAGTCTCCTGGCTTCCGCTTTAGACGCCCTTTACTGCACTGTTCCTTCAGGGGAGGCGGTGGGTGCACCTACCATTGGAAAACATCGCCCCCTGGGGGAAGGAGAGCTCGTGGCTGTGCTCGGCTTTACAGGAGTACATGGCTTTGGCTTGGCTGAAAGGGTAAAAGACAGTTTGTAAAAACCACAACATTCAAAATAAATACATTTATACTCAAATTATTTTAAAAAATGATATAAATGTCTACTTGTAATTGAAGTATACTATAAAGGGCACATGTAAGTATGCAAAGTGCATTTTTCACAAACTGAACATACATATGTAATCAGACAACACTGATAGCAAACCAAAAGCCTTCTTATGTTTCCAGGCAATGCCTTCAAGGGTAACCACCTGGCTTATGACAAACAGCCTAAGTTGGTTTTAAAGAATGCTATTATTTAGTTGTTGGTAAATACGCTGTTTTTGCAGTGTATATAGAGGGTCCTGAGTACCCTAAACCATTTTGTTCCACTTTCATTTGAGACCACCAGAACTGAGATCCCCAAATTAAAAAGTCTACAAGGTATAGTAAGTGAGTTAAGTGAGCATGATGGATAAGTTGATAATAAGTGGGAAACAGTGACAATCTCATTGTCAGGATGACGATGGGACAGAGAGAGAGGCTCTGGAAACCAGGGACCATACTCATCTCTCAGAAAGGGAAGCCAAGACTCCCCAGCATGTGTACCAAATGGGAATTCAGGCTCCATATAGCCAGACAGTCTGGTTTTCTAAGAGAAGCCAAACTCTCAGAGTTTTATGTGAATTCTAGTTAAAAGCGTTTGAGCCAACGCTAAAAGGCCATCATCTGAGGCTGCTAATCAAGTCGTCAGTCAATCCACGTTTACTCTGCAACATCCATGGTTGGTAAGAAGTGGAAGTCCTCTTGACTCCACCTACTTCTCACCATCTCTACCACCACCAGAGTGTAAGCCAAAATCATTTCTGGTGTGACTCACTGGATGGCTTCCTACCGTCCTAAATCCTCTAGGCTTCCTGTTTTCGTCTCCTTGCAATCTATTCATTACAGAGCACCCAGGACAGTTTGAGTAAGGTTTCAATGATCATGTTATTTCCCTGACAACAAGCCTGTAGCTGGTTTCCAACCCTAGCTCCATCCCACACCCAATCAGGTGCCTGTTGGCTCTCTCCTGATTGCCCTGCGTCGGCCGGCCCACCTGCTATACTCCAGCGCCTCCCCGCCCTCCTGCTGCTCCTCAAACCCGCCCAACTCATTCCCACCTCACGGCCAGCTGAGCCCTTGCTCTGAGATGTCTTCCTCTTGAACCTCACATTGCTATGTGCTTCTAGTTCACCTTAAATTTCATGAGCTCTGCTGAAGGTCATGTCTTCCCTGACCACACACCCTAAAATAGCTTCTGGGGCAATTATCATATCCTTCTAAGTCTGCATGGTACTAATATCTGTTATGCTTTTGTTATTGTTGATATTTCTGTTATCTTCTCTCCTAATCAGAATGTAACCTCCATGAATAATGCCTGAGGCCTAATAGTAACTCAGTAAGTATTTCCTGAATAAGTGAGTAGAAAAAAAGGAAAGGGAAAATGCTCTGATGCTCTGGGCTCTTTTTCTATGTGATAAATCCTTTAAACATTGAAGGCACCTTGTCTTTTCTCCTTTTAGTACCAGTATTTGCAAGCAAGCAGCAGCAGAATTTGCCACTGCAGATCTCTCAAAGCTTCAAGGTTATGTTATTTCACTTCCTTGTTGGAGCTAGATCCTGTGTCTCAGCGCTACACTTCCAGAATGAGGCAAAGTCACTTAACCCAGGGTTCTCAAGCGTCCTCTGAAGATTGGAAAGCTTAAGGGGGCAGAGAGGGGATGCGGATTCTGGCCCTGCCCCCAGAGTCTGCTTCTGTACTTTCAGAAAGTTTGCTGGGGGAGCCTGCAGCAGTCAGGTTTGGGAACGTCCATAAGCCCACTTTCCAATGAAACACGGTTTAGGGAAGAACTGAGGAAATGGAGGCACCCAGAGAAAGACAGGGCTTTACACTAAAGGAGAGCTGCATGTGTATGTGTGTGTGTGTGTGTGCACGCATGCGCACGCACATGTCTGTATGTACATGGGTGTATTGGCTGACATCAGTGGGAGGCGGGGGAAGAAGATGCTACCAAGTTCTGAAGACATCTAAGAGTCAGACGATAGTATTTTTAAGCAGGAAAAAAAAAATACTAGTTTTTTCTTATAAATCTACTTAAATGTAATAATGTGATCCAATATCTGACATGATAGACGGTTGCAAAGCCATTTCTTTAAAAAATATGTAAAGATTTTTTCAGAATTCACATGTCCTAACAGCAACAATTTCCTCCAATAAACAGTCAGTCTTACTGCTTTTGAGTCCTTAAAATAAATAGATACATAAGGGAACAATTTCCAGAGTCATAGAAATGACTATGATATAATAGTCCTTACAATGATATAATTTTTGAAATTACACTTTAAAAGAAAATTAAACTACTTTTATTCATATTTCAGATATGAAAGTTTCATTATAGTATTTTATAAGATTACATGGTGGGAGGAGACAAGCAGAATAATTATATCACTAAATAAATAGATATTGTTAAATGTGTCAAAAATACACAGGAAAAAAAAATCTGTCATGACTTTTCAATTATCTGTGCCTGTGTCTAGACAGGTATAATTTTCTTCTGCTGAGCTCTCTGTAACTACAGGTGTTAACTCGACAGAGCTTTGATGATTTAATGTAGACTTCTGTGGTAGTGAAGTTTCCTCTCCAGGTGCTAATGCTTCCTCTTTTACTGCTTTGGTGTATTGAAGATGTGAAAATTACACTGTTGCCTATTGAATATTTCTTCAGAAGATTCTAATATCCTTTGAAAAGGACTTAGAAAATCCTGCTTCTTATTGCATGGGGGAGTAAGGTAATAACATTTACTTTCCTGAGAGCCATTTCTTCCCTTATATATGGAAGACGACTTGATGACAAGCCCCATTCTGATGCTAAATGCTGCCTAATGCTGATGAATAGATTTACAAAGGTTTGATAGGGTCAGTGTGCAAAATTCGCAATACTTAGTCATAAGCAAAACAAAAAATTCACTAAATCAAAATTGATGCAATATTTTCTAGAGAGCCTCTTAACAATGATAAACACACGCACACATACACTGTCTCAGACTTTCTGTGTGCTGAGAATTTCACTGCTCAAAGGAGTAGAAATGCACACAGATATTTTTTAAAATCCCAAAGAAGTAATGTATGTCTCAGAGGTTAAAACCAGTGTTCTCCTCTAACAGTCTCCTCGACTTCACGCAGCATCTGCAATGTTGACTATGCCTGCCTTCTGATCATTCCTTCACATTGTCCTTTGACAGGATTTTAAATGAAACCATTCCCCAAAGACCAATCAATGCCCAACCATTTTCTCTTTTCACTCAAAAAGCCCACCCCCCTTCATCTATATAGAGTAACTGCTGTGCACAAGTTTCTCAAACGGTAAACTCCACGCTGTCTCTTGGTTCCAGCTGCACATTTCCAGTGTCTCTCAGTGCTCCTCAGGCTCACTCAGACGTTGAGGCCAAAACTCTCCTCCCCTGCCACGTCCTCACAAGCTGAGACCAGACTAAATTGCCATTCTTTCTGCCACTCAGACTCAAAGACTTGGAATTTTCTTTATCTGTGATCCACTCCCAGTATCAAAGCAGTTGCCCAATCCTGATTCTGTCCATAAAATTCTCCTCATTGCTTTTCATTCCTTTGGTAGTACCCTAATTACGGTCTTTCAAATCTCACCGATTTCATCCCAAATGGTTAACTGTGCTCTCCTTTTCACAACCCTCTAGAAAGACCACTTGAAATGATCTGTTCAAGTGCATCACTGATTAGATCACCCCTTTGCTCAACAGTTCCCAGAGCCAGCATAACTCCCAGAGAGGTTACTTTTCTGTCGCTCAAGGTCATCCACTAGAATCTCCTAATTGGTCTCTTTCACAAACATAGCTAGTCTTCCTTACTCACTACTGGTTCTATCATTCTTCAAGGTCTCATTCAAGGGTAACCCTGAGTTTCCTACAAGAACATGAAATAAGCACTATAGAAGATTAGTAAGGAAAATGCTTTCAACTTCTAATTGTTCAGTTGAATCTAATGGTATCAGAAAATATCATGTGGGGCCTTTAAGAGTTAATGTTTATATATCATTAATATATATTAATGAGAGGCTTGAATACATTAAGAAACTAGTTTCAATAAAAATTATCACAATAATAATAGTTGTTATTTTAAAGACCATCTGTGGAGAACTTACCAAATACATTGCTGCATATTTGAAATTTACAACAATTTGGCAAAAACGGAATTACAACCGTCATTTTATAAAGACAATAGATTTCTTAAATATGTGACTCCAAGGTTATACACATAGGAAGTGGTGAACCAAGAACATGAATGTGAGGTCCACTGTGTTCTGCTGTCCCTGTCTCTTGGTGAAAAGTTACAACACGGTCCACAGTGTTGTGTGCCAGTTGAAAAAGACAGTAATTTTCAAAGTACCAGTTAGTAAGGTCTAAGTTTATGCTGACAGCCATTAGAAGTTGATTTAAGAGTACTATTTAGAATGTAAAAGAATATTTAAAATGCATAGACTGATCATTGAACGTATGAGTATATCTTTATGATATGACAGCATTCTGATTTATTTCAACAGCTTGCTTTTTTAAAGTTCTGTGGGATTATCTCTGTCTCCAGTACTTGCGTTAACAGATTTACAGCTTCCTTAATATAAGGGCTCCATCTAGTGGAGCAATTCAGCCATCTCGCTGGACAGAGTAGCAAGATTAAATCGCTCCCCCTAAGGCCTAAAATAGAGGACAGTTTTAGATACTTGATGTTTGCTCTGCCATGCACAGTGCCTAGTTGTCACCCTGTCTTAATAAACAAGGAAGAAGGCAAAGATGCTACAGTAGAGGTAAGATCCATGCAAATACTTTGAAATCTGCTATAGGAATGCAATGTACTGACCAATGTCCTAGAAAGACACCAACTCTGTGGACTTAAAAACACTAACACGGGAGGGCCTTTCTAGTAGGGGGTGGGGGTGGGGAGGAGCTTCTTCCAGAAAAAGTTCTATACATTTCAGAGGCAAGAACATACTTTTGAAAAGTTTCTACAAACTGTTTTCAAAGGACTCTGTTGTGCAAAGGGTTACAGCAACTTGTGACTTCTAGAAAACCTGTTTGTTTAGAACCCTTCCTTTGAGAAGATTTTACCAAATGAAGCATCACCTTGAAAGTCTAAGGCACTAAATGCTGTTTAAGCACATAACCTCCTCCCCATGAAGGGAGAGTGAATATGGATTTGACCATCTGCAGAATGGAGGAACAGAGCTGTTAAAGATGACCCACCATGTCAACAGCAAGAGGCAACAACGTCACCGCTATTTATTATTGACTTTGTTTTGAAAACTTACCGCCCAGAAGAAGCTGGCTTAACTGAACCAACATTTTCAAACAGTTGGGCTTTCGCTGCCACACTGAAAAATAATTTTACAATGCAAGTTTCATTAAATCAATTAGGAAACCATTCAGTTTAAAATTCCGAGTCATCAGTTAACCAAAACAAAGATGATTAGTTAAGAACTGTCCTCCAAATTTAACCTTACTTTTAATTGTTTTAAGGTTTAATGTGGAAGGAAGTTTTAGCTCTGGTCTATAGCTCAGGGAGTATCAGATTGTAATAAGCCTATGTCCACTCCTCTGGGAAGGTTTCTGTCCTCATTTTTTCTACCGCAGGAAACTGGGAGCCATAAGAAGGAGCATTTGCTCCCTGCTTTGCTCCCGGCAGCAGTGATTGACTCCTGTGAAGCCACAAGACAAAAGCCAGATCAACATAACAAAAGAGCTGTTCATTTTAACAGCCAAGACAAAACTAATTCTAAAATTGTTTCATGTACTCTTTAATACTGAACACAGTTCCTGTAATATGGAAAGAAAAAAACTCTGAAAATATCAATAAATCAATCTATGGATTCAAATCTCACTTTCAATCATGGAGTGGGGGCATGGTCTGTAAAAAGGTGAGAAAACTAGGTAGAGAGTAAATAGAATGAAAACTAAGGTACTCAGTAATTAGAAAAGTTTCTAAATTTACTAGACGAGATATCAAATCCCTTAAAAGATATTCTAAACTAGATTTTTAAAATCGTTTATTTCTTTGACAAACTTCTCCCAGAACAGAACCATTTGATAATCTCAAGGTTATTTATGCCTAACGCAGAATATATACTTTCAATAATTTTTTTTCTTTTTTACTATCAGTAAGATCATGAAACAGAAGCTCTTCTCTTTCCCTTAAAAAGGATGGAATGATATTCTCCCATCTCCCTTGACACATCGACTTAAAATTTAATTTCCCTCAGTGGCTAGAACTATACACACTCAGAAGTAGAAAGATTTATAAATATATTTGTCTGTATCATGGTAGCTGAATTTCTGACCGACAGAGTCTGACTGACTCTGAAACCAAAAGGTTTGTATAAGAGAAAGGGAGGAAGGGACGAATGAATTTAAAAATACTTTGTACAGAAATAAGCTTACTAAAATGTCTCACTGAACTTTTGAGGAATAATTTAAGTGTCAAGAGTACCACCATATTAGAATCGGGCACAGTATAATAGACAGAGTCAGGTTCAAGCCAGAGAACCTGGGGTGGAATCCCAGCTCTACCCTTACTAGCTGAGTGTAGGTAGACTGGTTTTTTAAATCCTCTTTTTCAAATTTTATTTTATTATTACTTTAACAGAATTAATTTGATATGTAACATTGTGTAATCCTTAAACTTTCTGAGTATCAATCCTCATCATCTCTAAAATGAGATTTATTCTACCTACTGCACAAGGATACTGTGGACCTTACTGTATGCAAAGATGCCTAGTAAAGCAATACAGCATTTGGAAATGCTCAGCAAAAGTCAGCAGAATAAACTGAAAGGGAGAGAAGCTCTTCCTCTTCGGATTTTGCTTAGGTGTTAATCCGCGTTCCCATTTTCTCCTCTTTGACTGCCTTTCTGTTCATGTCTGTATACTCTACTTTATCAGCCTTTACACTTCCAGGTCATTTCTTTTGATTAGAAGGACTGACTCCCTTGTGCCTATCACATTCCTTGTTCTCCATGAGCTTGTTTAAATCAGTGGGTTGTCAGGTGGGGAGACTTGCGACGGCCAACCCTGGCAGCTAGAGAGCAGTTGTATTTCTAACAGAGATGGGGGGCGGGGTACCTGGAAGTGGGGCCTGGCACAGCAGTCTCCTCCCCTGAGAAGCTGATGTTTAGCTTTTACAGGAAGGTTTCTGGCTTCAAAGTCCATAACTACTACATCATACGTCTATTTTCATGTCCTTAAAGTAAGCCATAGTTCTGCTTCTAAGGAAAGTACTTGAAGTGCCCACCTGTGAGATTGTTTATGTATGTATGTATGTCCTAAGCTTACTCTAACTTCCACATCACATTTAGGAGAAGACAGGGCCCCACAGAAGCAGATTGTACCCATTCTACAGATGAGGCATCGGCTGTGGAAGTCCCAAGGGCTCCTTGAGACACCTCCATCCCCACGTGTCCCCTGGCAGACACCGCAAACACAAACCTCACTTACATGGAGCCAGGCCGCTGGTAGCCATTGCTCGCAGCAGTGTCCAGCCTTAACCTCCTGCACATTTTTGGAGGCAGGTCTGGGTGTGGTGGGGCTTTCGGCGTCTCTTTGGAACCTATGGAAGTTAAGCTTTGAATGGAACCACTGTAGCTCTTGTTTCCTAAAAAGAAAGTCCAAGAAAATAGGCAAGGCATTATTAGACAACATAATAGCAATAACCCAGTACATGTGCCTAACAAAAGGAAGCATTCTTCTCTGAGCCCAAACGAGAAGGTACGGAATGTTCTTTTAGCACAGCAGCCCATCACTCAGGGAGATCAGGATCTACAGCAATTACAAACACATCACCTCAGAGAGATAGAAAGAGCCAGGAAAAAAGTCACAGTGCAGAGAAGTCTGAAAATCTCAGCTCCCGAGGAAGAACCTAGATAAGCATCATTAGTCCCTTGCCCATTTTTCCCTTGCTTAATCATGCCGAATAATCTGGCAAGTGACACGGAGTTAATGACATCTTGCATAAGCTCCACTCTGGCTTACCTTCAGCTGCAGAGATGGACTTGAGAAAGGTCGCTGAGGCTCTTTTCTGTCCAGAAACCCCATGAGGCCCTTTCTTGGTCAGGTCTATGGGGGGGGAAACATCCCCTGGGCCAGTGACGGAGGCAACACTCTGGCAGTCTGATTCTGCGTCCGTTTTGGTTGCATCTTCTCTAGAACTGGATTCCGGACTAGTTGTCCAGAGACCAAGACTTTTCTGTCCATTGGACGGTGATGGGGATGCAATCCAAGGAATCCCTCCAGATTTCTCCCTGGGCTGGCAGGAAGCGGGCTTTGTGTTGCTGTTTTGTTCAGAGGAGTGAGAGGAGAGGGACTCAATGCTCCCCATGGGTGTGCTCGCTGGGCTGCTGCTATAGGAGTCACCTGAGCAGGAGCAGGAGAGAGAAAAGAACAGGGGCTCTCTGTTGAGAGCAGCACCACCAAAACCCTTCCAGTCTCCAATCCACACACGTTCTGCGGCCACCCCATCTCTCTGCAGTGACGGGCCTTTACCAGGCGTGGTGAACCGTCCTCAGTAGCGGAGAAAGGGCTTTAACACATTCATCTGAACTTGGGGAATGCATTTTTCAATACTACTTGAGGGACATTTTATATGTGTCCTTCCCTGGGAAATTATGTCGTTGAAGCATGAGTGGGCAGACTTGAATTCAGAAAAACTTCTGAAAAGGACTCATAAGTAAGGGAAATGATTCCATGATGATATTATAAAACAAACAAACAAAAAAGATGAAAGAGGGGGAATATTAAAGACATACTTCTGTCTTGTTTTGTTTTTTTTTTAACTTTTCTGATCTTAGGTGATTCTGAGTTACAATGCATCTGAATCCTCCTCTGTTCAAAGGCACAATTAAATATCAGCTGCAAATTACAAGCTGCTCTCTATTTCTAAAGGGGGGACTTTTTCCTTCTTCTGCTAAGAATATAGCAGCATAAGGAACTGTCTGTTTAACTAGGTGTATTTTTTAATGTTCTCAAATGTAAGGTATAAGAAAAAGGATCAGAAAAACTGTAATAGAGTGTTTAAATATATCTAAATTTTTAAAAAGTGTTTTCTATTAAATTTCTAAATTAATTTTCTAAAAAATTGGGAGGCTTAAGAGTAGGAAATGAAATGCAAACAGCCACAGTTTAACACATACCACAGGCCCAAGCTGCCCCTCACTTCATTCGGGGGCTTGGCTTGGAACAGTAAGTTAGTGATAACATGTGGAGTGCTTTCTCGTATTTCTTTTCTTTCTCTCTTTAAGATACTTTGATACCCAAGAGATGATGCTTTAAGAACATAATGTGAAAGGAAGAAAGAAAATGACTGTTTCAGCCAGACTTTCTCTTGCTTTCTTTTCTAAACACTTTGACAATAGGACAAAACCCTCTGCAAAGTAGCACCTCATGTACTTAATCAGAGCTGCCGAAAAAAGGAGGGGGGCATTGAGCAAACTAATTACTTCCTTTGTAGCAGTAATGAATTTGCTATTCCAAGGTACCTTGCAACTATACTGACAGAGAACATATAAATGTTAGAGGTGCAGGAGGTATTGGGGCGATGGCATCAGTAAAAACAACTTCTATTTGTACCTAATTAGAGGTAGAAAGGCTGAATTAAAGAATGAAGAAAGCCTCTCCCTACGGCGGGCACACTTACTATCAGGTTCGGCCAAGCACGGAGTGTACCTCCCTCTGGGCTTCCGGGAGCCTGTGGAAAGGCAGATTGCACGTGTCCTTCGGGATCCAGATCGAGACTGAGGCTGAGGAAGGGGAATGCTTGGGTCTGGGGCAGTATGAAAAATCTATAGAAGAACAATGAACTAAGGTCAACAAAAGGATGAAATTGCCATTTCCATCATAAAGGAAGCTTTGAGAGTTATTAAGTAATCTTAGAACTATATGCTACTTAATCAGTTGGGGGGCAAGAGATGCTTGATACACCCCCCCTCCAAAAAAAAATCCAAGAATAATTACAACTTTCTTTTCTATTTACACTGAGTAATGTTTCTTTTCTGGGTTTTCCTTTTTATGTTCCCCCATTCCCTGACAGTGAAAACCAGATTTCTCAATAATTTTAAGAAAACTTTCAAATAGGAACAAATGTCTATGTCAAGACACACTGATTCTTTTTGTTGCGGTAGACTCTTTCCCTCTTTGTGCTGAACATAGCCTTTGGGAAAGAGGTTCCTTCTGTGTATCATCTCCCCAGCAGAACATGCCCCCTTTTTTTTAGGAGAAGGTGCTGCCATGCTGTTGCTTCTGAACTGTCAAGAAATGTTGACAGGCTGCAAGGAGAGGTCTGAGCACAGCTGTGGGATGCAGCCATGTGCTCTTTGGTTGTGAGGAAGCTTACAATCTTAAATAGGCACTAAGGATATTCTCCCATAGGCACTAGGAAGGGATTCAGGGAAGGAGAGAGACATAGTCATCCTCTCACAGGGCTGGATCAGATGTAAATCTATCACAAAATGTTTAGACCATCAATGGTCAAATTTCTTAATAACCCGATCAGTTTGGCTTTCCCAACTTCCAATTTCCATAGTTATTCTAAGATCTCAGTCTTACAAAGAAGCCCTTCTTAGGGACTGGATATAGAAAAGACTTCAAGACTCTTTCCTGGATTTTTTCTTTGGTTTTATTTAAAATATCACCTCTACTGTATAATGAAGAGCCTAATTCCAGAGAGATTAAAAGGTCAAAATAGATTTAATCACAAAGTAATTCTATAGTATTCTCTGAATATGAGCAAAAAACTGATTATATAAATGCTACAGAAGAAAATCTTGAAATGTAAAGGATGGAGAAGGAAAGGAAACCACCTATCTGCCCGAAGGGTTTGAGGGCAAACTTAAAAACTGAACAAGAGACAAGAAATCGAAGCCCTCATGAAGAACTAATTTATACAAAATTCACCAGACTGACATTACAGGAATCTGAGATCACAGTGTGAAGCGCTCAGATGATACAAGTGGAAAATCAAGATGATAAAAATACAAGATACAAAATTATTTCCCCATGAAAACTCAGCTTACCTTATCATAGTGCTCTATCAGAATTTCAACCACAATATTCTGAAATTTAATATTCATCATAGCAGCCACAGTTTCTTCCTGTGCTCTCATTAGAGTTGGGCCAAATATGACACCAAGGTTTGAAACAGTCATGAGATTTTGTTGACTATGTAGTGATACTCTGCAAATAAGAACAACAAAAAATATCTTAAGTTAAATGTTTAGTAATTATAAAATAATGTCATCTACCAAATTTGTGATATCCTAGGCTAATGTTTCCAAATAGGTTCAGTCATTCCCAACTGGCATTAGTGAGTATAGCCTAAAATGATATAACAAGTTGACATAGCTAAAGTAAAACATAATTACAAAGGCTAATATATTGAAGAAAAAAATCTTGATTTCCTTAAGTAAATGTAGTCACCCTAGAGAGAGATTATCAGCTCTGGTATTTTCTCAGTACTATACTTCTTTTAGAACAGATGGTTTAGAGTAGACTGGTTGTAATTTTATTTGGATTCACCGAACATTATTAAAAAGCTAGTGCCAGCCACTTTGTTATTATTGTATTTAATCCTCCCAGGAAGTCAGGTTTTCCTATTGTACAGGTAAAAGAAAACCCAAAGCTCCTAAAGTAAAAACGACGCATTTGAGGCCACAGAAAATTAGGGTCAGAGAAGTTATTTCAATTCAGGCCTCCTGAATGCAAGTCAAGGGTTTCTTTGAGCTCCCCACATAAGACAACTGGCTAATGCATGTTTCCATCCTTCCTTCCTTCCAACCATCCTTCCAAAACTTCTCTGGGTGCTTCCCTAGTGCCGGGCACTGTGCTAGGCAAACAGTAAGACAAGGAAATGTGAAAGCATCAGTGTTGTCTTGAAAATGGAAATGAAACAAAAAAGGCCTATGGTATTACTGGCCTTAGTAAAGCACTCTCAGTAACTAACACAAATGACTGTGACCAATGAACTAATTTGGAAACTGGACATATGCTTTAGAGGAAACCTCATTCATTTGACCAGTCTTCTAGGTTAACCACTGTCTTTTCTGTGTCACTTCCAACAAGGATTTTAGAGTGTAAAGTTCTAGGAAGAAGAGAAACACAAATTATGTTTCTAACTGAGAATGCATCACTAACTACATTCTAAAACCAGAAGTAAAATTTCATGGGAATTCCAGGATTTGAGGTTATCCATGCAGTTCCTAGTAGAGGACAGGGAATGCAGACTAACCAAATGACTGAAATTTTCCCAGCACTATCCAAAAAGGCTCCTGGTTAGAATAAGGGAAGTTTCATTACAAGTTTCCTTTTTATAAAACCAAATATTATATATTGATTGTTTAATATGTAATAGAGAATGTATACTAAGAAAGTAGTATGTAAAGGCAGTGAGTCTGTCTGGAATCAAAGCTTGAATCCATCCAACTTCGAAGTGGGGTTAGTCAGCCAAGTTATTTAATACACTCCAGTTTCCCCATCTATTAAGTATAACAATCCTTATAAGGTTGAGAAAATTAAGTAATGAGTTAACTATGATCTCAAAATAATATTTTTCTGGTAATCAAATTGGCTTTAGACACTCTTGCTAAAATGTAAAAGTTCTTCATAGTGTAAGTAAACTGGAAAATAATTAATATTTATCTCACTGGGGAATAAATTTAGAAATCCTAAAAGATTGGCCCATTTTGAAAAGGAGAGTTGATGACTTTGTTGCTCAAGAAATGAAATATTTTGATGACCAATTTACTCTTCGTTGAATTTTCCTTTTGCTGGCCTACTGAATTATTACAGATTACTATCACCCACATTTCATCATTTCTTAACCTCATTCCCTCAACTCCTGTAGGTAACAGACATCCCGTTGTACTTTTGAATAGTTAAAGTTATAGTCAAGGAAGATGTCACAGATGGCCTTGTTTTAAGACAAAGAAAAGGATTCTCAGAAAAGAAGCAATGATTTATACCATATCTCAGAGCTAACTAATGGAATTTTGACATTAGTCATTGAGTTGTTGGTTCTTTGGGCCACTGACCAATCCAGGTCACAGGTCCTCAGTCTCTCTCTCTCTCTCTCTCTCTCTCTCTCTCTCTCTCTCTTTAACCATATAAGGTTGCCTGGGACCAAGATTGTTTTTAGTTTTCTATAATTAACTTAAGTCATTAGTTATGTGGGCATACATTCCACTATGCAAACACTAACTTGAAAAGATATATGCATCCTTGTGTTCATTGCACTTTATTTACAATAGCCAAGACATCAAAACAACATAAGTGTCCCTTGATGGATGAATGAATAAAGGGATTGTGGTATGTATAAATAATGGAATATTATTCAGACATAAAAAAATGAAATGTTGCCATTTGTGACTATATGAAGGGACCTTAAGGACATTATGCTAAAAATAAGTCAGACAGAGAAAGACAAATACCATATGATCTCCCTTATGTGTGGAATCTTAAAGAACAAACAAAAAAAGCTCATGGATATAGAGAACAGATTGGTGATTGTAAGAAGATGCATGGTCAGGGATGGGAAAAATGGGTGAACTCTTTTTCTTTCTTTAACTGAATATTTTTTTTAAAATAGAGACTTTATAAAATTAGTTTTGAAAAGTCAGTAAACAAATACGAACAAAAAAGAAAGAAAAGAACGAGCCAAGAATGTTGGTGAAGGATGAGCAGGAGAATTTTAAACACTCTTCCATGGCCAGATACTGTGTCCTGCTATTCCTTGTATCAAAACAACACACATTAAAATTAAGGGTGAAGCTCATGTTCATCTAATACTCTGTATAATTAAGCAAGAAAATGTTTATGTGACATTCATGTCAATGTTAAAAGCATTTAAAAAATCTTTACTAGAAAACTAGCTTGAATACAGCAAGAGAATGCCCTATAAATACAGTATGGTTAAATTCCATAAAAAGGTTACAAACAATGCAAAAACATAGTTCAAAACTAATTCAGACCAAAGATAAGTACTTTTTTATTAGCTAAAAGGGGTATTGCCATGGGCAATAGTTAACAGTGAACTTGAAAGGATGCCATTTTGAGTAAATTCCTATCAAAGAAATTCATATTATCTCAAAGCCTGCAAGTTCACAGTTATTAATGTTATATAGCACTATTTCAAATATGCATGGCAAAAATTAAGGCAAATTGGGTTACTACTCTAGTACACAAGGAAGGGATTAATGATTTGATTGTGAATCATGGTACTCATTAAGATGAAAAACGTTTTTAATGAGATGGTAAGGAGATTCTGAAGTAAGTTTAAAATCTGAATTTGGACTTTTGTTTCCAGCAGTATGGCAAATAAACTTCTGGATTAAGAGTATGAGTGTGTGTGTGTGTGTGTGTGTGTGTGTGTGTGTGTGTGAATTTCTAGATAGATATGTGATGGTTAATTTCATGGTCAAATTTGCTACACCACAGTACATACTTGGTCAAACATAATTCTAGATGTTTCTGTGAAGGTTTTTTTTTTTAACACGAGATTAACATTTAAATCAGTGGGCTTTGAGTAAAGCAGTTTACCCTCCATAATTTGGGTGAGCCTAATCCAATCAGCTGAGGGTCTTAAGAGAAAAACACTAGGGTCACCTGAGGAAGAGGGAATTTTGTCTCCTGGCTGCCTTGGATTCAAGCTGTAACATCAATCCTGCCCTGGGTCTCCAGCCCACAAGCCTGCCCTGTAAGCCAATTCCTTATAATCTATCAATCTCTCATATACACATACATACACAAACACACACACATATTCATATTTGTGTATATATAAGTGTGTATACATAAACACAAACATCCTATTCATTCGGTTTTTCTGGAAAAACTTTCCTACTAAAACTCAATCTTTTGAGACTTTTAAATATATCAAAGAACTTAACAGCAGAGTCAAAAGAGAAAAATCTTCAGAAACAGAAGAGAAACCATGAATTCAAAGAAAGAAGTTAGTATTAGAGTGGAAGTTTTGACCTGGCAGAGCCTGTTGATCCTGGTAATATGGAGGACTAGTCTTAACACTTAGGGCCTACAAAGTATCTAAAAGAATTGGGGGGCTAGGGGGAAGCTACATACATCTACATACATTTTTATGTTGACACATAAGTTTTTCATCATTAGTTTCACAGTTGCAAAGGATATAATTATCTGCATAATGTAAATATACACAGGTACATACATACACATGTACATATAGATAGATCTTTAAAATAAATTGTCACTCTTTTTCAAGCACAGTCTATGGACTCTCAGCACCATCAAACGCTGCAAGGGGACATAAGCAAGGTTAACTTTAATAGCTGAACAAGTAGTTAAGTGAACGATATAAGTCAGAGAATTACTTGACCAGGTGCTTTATTAAGATGTCCAGCATCTCTCTGTTTTTCTCTGGCAATTTGTGCACCAAGGCATGTACAGCCTCCACCCGGTAGTTTTGGTCATCAGATTCTGTAACATAAAAAAAGGTGCAAATCTCAAGTTCTAATCTCATTCAGATGTGTACATGACATTAATAATCATAATCACACCCACCCCTCAGGCCTTAAAAGTGCCACTTCCTTGGGGTTATCACATTCCCTAAGGCTGAGAGGGGCTCAGCAACTTGTCCATGGCCGTGAAGTTAGTGAGTAAAGAAGTCAGCAAACCCAGGTCTATTTAATCCAGCCCTGTGCTCTTAGCCACAGAACTATATACTTCCATACTATATACTTCCATACAAGCAGAACTCATCAACACCTGCTTTGGTTTTGCTACATAGGGACAGAATCAAACTTTTAACAATGTGAGTGATCACTGCAACTGTTACGGACTGTCTAATGCATTGGGCATTGCAACACTTCATCACCCAGAAACCTCCAGTGATTCCATCAGACCAGAAGAAGCAGGCATTCCTTTTCAAATTTTACATATTCAAAAACAATCAGGAGTTATTTTTCTGAGGGATCAGAATTATTATACAAACTAAGTCCTAGTCAATTTTAAGCTCATGCTAACAACAGGAAATCTGAAAAGTGAAAAATCATCTACAGCAAGTCTAGTCTGCCAGACAAGAGCCAAGCTGCAGACATGTCTGCTAGAGAAACTTCTAACGCTTCAGAATAAGGAATCTATTTAACATTCTTTTACTGCAATAAACAAATTCTGGAGTGACTGCCCATCCTACCAAGCCCTTTCTCTGGAAAATGCCTGACCAATAGGGCTTATATTATGCAACCTCCATGTCTTCTAGGCACACCTATTTGGAGTGAGGAAAGGCTGGACCAAACAAGAGCTCTCTCCCAGAGGTTGGAATGAAATCACCAAAACTCATCTGTCTGTTGGTTATCGAACGTGAAAAGGCAGACCACCTAAAACCAGCGCTGCCATGAACAAGTTCCAACCCAAGAAAATCTGACTGGAAAGGAAGACAAGAATGAGGCAGAAAGGCAGAAAACAACGGAGACGAGAGGCCCCCCAGATAGAGTGGGGGAGGGAAATGTCAGTTCCTGGCCCTGCATTTCCTGGCTGCAGTCCCATGGAAGGCCTGACCCCTCCTCTGCCAAGGAATTCCTTGAGGCACCTCTTCATCTCTAAATAAATTCCCCTTTTACTGAGCTGGATTCCTGTGGCTTGAAACCAAAGAATACCTAATTTTATTAACATCTAGAAAATGGGATTATCCTTGAGCCAGACAAAAGATGAATTCTTACAGCCAAGAATGCACTTTAATGATTATGGAAGTGAATAATACGATCATGATTTGCCAGAAAATAAGTATAGGAAAAAATCTTGAAGTCAAATGTTTCTATCAAAATCACCAGCTCATTGAGTGATTTTAGTAACTGGTTCAAATGCCGTTTGTTATACAACTAATTTTTTTCTAAGAAGGAGGACTAGATTAACAGTCTAACAAACTGGCTTGTAACCCTGATTGCCGTGAATTCACTAATGTTCTTAGACAACGCCTTTCTGCCCACTCTGGATCTTCACTTCCTAATCAACTAAATGAGAGGCTGGACTGTACATTTTCTAAGATCTTGTTCATCTCACAAAGGCAGAGTTTTTATGAAGAGAATGTAAAATGGAGAGCTTGCAGGAGAAACCTCAGCAGTGTAATAGCATATGCTATTTGCAAGCTCATGTGGGCAGTCGCGTCTGCTGGGTTAAAAACCAAGGCCGCTCATCTTCATCTGACACTTCTGTCAGCAGACGACATTTCCTGTGACAATGCAATGTGTGGTAATAAAATAAACAACGGGTTTCTTTCTTGGATTATGAAAAATACTCTTGTTACCGTCACACCTCATATATTTTAACAATGAAAGGCCAACTCCTAATTGTTACAATTTGTTGTGATGGGCTCAGGTGGCGCCCTGGCAGTCGGATCCCAATGTTTTAAAAGTAGGTATTTCTAACTTCTCAGGTTACATATTTCTTATAGATCCTCCCACCCTACCTCCCCTCAAGTTTTGAATTAAACCTATCTATTCGCATCACCTTTTAACAGTCAAAGATCTAAAGAAATGATACAGATATGTGATTATGAATACTTTAAGTATAATATGGGAGAAAGGAGATTGATGGGCGTGCCTGTTGCCTGCCAAAAATATCTGACTCTTCTCTCCAGATCTGGGACTACAGTATGTGATTATGTGTCTGGTAGCGGCATAACAGACTGTATGCACCTGTAGTCTTATCCATTTAACCATGAAGTCGCTCTTGTAAAAATCTGCCATGCATCAATCACGTAGAATGTAGAAGAATCCTCACAGCTCTTTCTAATCACACCTGACCGTCACCCCAATGTAGTCTTATTAAATAACAAAATATTTTAGTTCATTCTTCAATTTCTTATTTGTTAATGAATCATACTGTAAGCTATTAAGTATCTGATAGACAATTTCTTAAGCGATATGTAGGGAAATCTTAACTAGTGGATTTAAACTTACACATCTAAGTAATATGGCACAAAACTCTATCAGTAGAGGCGTACTTACTAACAGCAACAATAAAGTCTTTGTGTAACTTGTAAGTCATCAGTGGTTCTGCAAGGCACCTAAAATAGAGAATGAAGCATACTTTAGGGTGGCAGTGTCTTTTTATCTCCCCTGAACCTTCAGTGCTTCCTAAGAACTGGGTGATGGGGCTGCATGAATACAAAGTCCTCGCATTCATAAATTATGAATAAGTATTCATAAATTACTGCAGCCGTTTTAAGTTTATTATTCGAGACATCAAGGATAAGTTCCAGAACACTAAATATAAACATTACTACCTTGGCTCTTTCAGTTTCAGCGAAAAAAGTGCACTAAGAAGTGCAGCCCACACACACCAACGCGCTCCTCGGAATCACCGGGTGACCCCCGGGGCCAGGGAGTGCGAGACCCCAGGCAGAGTGCCGGGGAGGAACCCTCCTCACCTGAGGTAGTTTTTCAGTCCGCTTGTTATTGTCTTATTATCCCACAGTTCAATGTCAATGTCCATGTCAGGAGGTGATTTTGGAGCTAAAAAGGATTTTTAAAAAGTTTAAATTGTTATATTAAAAATATCACTTGCATCATTAAGAAATTAGCTACAAAAACTAAGTAGGTCAAAAAAAGAGGCACTAACCTCAAAGATTTCTTGTGGAGCAATACTTTCCCAAACCAAATTATTGATAATTATTAATAGCACAGAGCATGTACCATGTGTTGTACATGCTTCCAAGCACTTTACATGGATTAAAATTCTCAGTCCTTATAATTCTTAACAAGGCAGGCACGATTATTTTTCCCATTTTATAAAAGGAGAGGCTGAGGCACAGGAAGGTTAAGCAAATTACCTAAGATCACAAAGCTTTTAAGTGGCTAACTTAGGGTTCCAACCCAGGCAATCTGAATCCAACATCCATAAATCTCATTGTGCCTCTAGCTAATGAAATGACACTTGAAAAAAAGTTCAACATTATAAAGAGGACCCCTCTCAAATTCTGAGTGTTGTTCACTGATTACAACTGAACACTGAAAACTGAACACAAATATTAATTTTACATATTACTTGAAAATACTCAAGGACAAACAATAGTCTATATCTCAAAATAAAAAAAAAACACACAAAAACGAAAAGAAAAGAAAACCAAACTATGGTTTGGAATAAATGGGTAATGGAAAAAAGAGATAATAAAAATAAAGTATTAAAAAATACAAAAGTTAACTGAATAACTGCTTCATCCCAAACTTACAAAATGTGGTGTTCATGAGTTTCTGAACTTTGGAGTTCACGCCTCCTATTCGGTAGAGGCCTAAAATCGTGATGCCTGATGGGAAGGAAAAATCACAAGAACATAGACTGAGACACAACTTCCCCAGTACAGAATGTTAAAAACTCAGACAGATGCCTATAAAGAACTTGAAAGCTACTTATGCAATTTTGCAGTCTAACTTTCCCTAACTTACCCTGGAAACATCCACCAGACATACATTCCTCAGAGCAGACAGTAAATGGCGATTTGAAAGTCTTTGAAGATCTTATAAGTAGCAAAGTACACCTGCTTATTCACCACAATTTGAATATAAAAAAGCATTGAAGATGGAAAAGGGTGATCAGCACCGCCCATCTGTTTCTTCAGTCCTGGAGTTCTGCATGTTGAACAGTTTTATGGCGTTTATATCTTCACTTTAAAAGTGAGGAAACAGACTCAAAGAATTTAAGAAACCTACTTAACATCTCTAAACTTCGAAGTGGCAGCACCAGAATTTGAATCTAAGTTTACAGAATTCCAAAGCCGAATATGAGGCTTGCTGTAGATCCATTTTCCTGGAAGTGTGCTTGCCTAACAGACAGCAGGGGTCAGCCCCAGGAGGGGGCCATGGCTAGAGGGAGGAGCGGGGCTGACGCGCGCAGTGACAGAGGTCACTGCAGGAACTCATGCGGCGAAGGAGGGGCTGGGGATGGGCTCCGAGGAGGAGTCTCACCAACCTCCTTAAAGCCTGAAACAAAGCTAACGGGGTACTTACAATAATAAATAACACAGAGTCCATCAGTAAGAAGTAAACCGAGGGCATTTGGGGAAATGTCACTAAGAGAAGTATGTTTAGAGGATGGCTTTTGGTAGACTGAAATTCTAAGTATAGCTATTTATGTATTTATATAATTTATATATGCATATGATTCTTAAAATTAATCTCACATTAATGGCTAAATACATTCTCATTGTCTCAGCATTTTTATGTAAGAAGGGACCACACTACATTAACAATAACACCTGTCAGACTGTACTGACCTCTTGTTTCCACAGCTTGAATGCATTTTCTCACGAAGTTGAACCCTGCTTCATTTAAGTACACTGAAAGTAAAAGAAAATCATATTGAGTCTGTATGATTTTCTTACATTCTGCCTTCATTTGGCTCTGCGGTTTCACGACTTAATGGTAGTTGTGGATAGTCTGAATTATTACATAGGGTAGAAGTGGAAGAGAGTGGTTCATACTCCCCAATATTATTACATAAACTTGCTTCATTAGAAACACAAATCTTTTTAGAAAGTAAACATGTTACATGAGTTCCATCCATTTTTTCCAAAATCAGCAATACACTTCACTACGTTTTTACAGATAATAAAAGCAATTGCAGTAAGAATAAAGTTTTATTGTGTGTTAATAATTATATTACAAAGCTATTCACATATTTTTTTCCCATGTGATTCTCAGAACATTTTAAGGTAGAGAGAAAGCTTTACAATCTTAAGACAATTATTCATTGAGATGTTGAAAGCTTCATTTTCATAGTTCTAAGCTCTAGAGCTGGGGTTCTAACTTAGGTCTCTTGATTCTAAGTCCAATGTTCTTTCTAGAGCATTTTGTATCATATTCAAACTAACTTTAGTCAATTCACCAAAAATTCCACAAAGATTATTATTATATTATGAAATAACAATTCATTTTCATTGCTTTATGCCAGATTTTCTTTATATCAGTTCTTATTTTACTTAAGGTTTTGGGGCCTGATGAAAATAGATCACTTGTTTTAAGAGAAAGGATTTAAGAATAACAAGTAACCCTCAGAAGGAAAACTCAAAAAAATTTTTGTACTTTAAAAAATTTTTGTACTCTAATGAAACTTTTCATCACATGTGGTAAAGATGTGGCATCTTAATATTCCCAAACAATAATATATTAAGAAAATTCAAGCTAATAAAAAATTAAAACTGGCTTTCATTTAAAGATGATAAACACATTCATATGGCTCAACACAGATCCAAGACAATATATATATATGTGTATATCAAAAAGTTATGCTAAAAAAATCAAGAAGGGGTGCCAGCAATAGGCAAAAACCTTAAAGAAATCTTCTATGTATATAGAAAACTACTATAAACCGAATTAACCGAAAGTCTGAGAAACCTGTGGCCCAAAAAACTAGAGGTAATGACATGAAAGGATGTTTATCATGTGTTGTCAGGTGAAAAAAATAATTTATAGGATATGACCCAATTTCTTAAAATGTAATAATTGAGGGTATTTTTTCCTAGAGGAAAAGAAACTCTAACTTTTTTACATGCAAACTGCAAAGTAAAAAAGAAAAGAACAATGGTAGAAATTATCATTTTTATTCACTGGGCTTTGGAACTATTTAAAACTTTAAAAAATCCCCACTCAAGGACATTTTTTCATTGCTTTTAGAGGCAGAGGAAGGGTGACAGGGAATCACTGATGCAAGAGAGAAGCATCAATTGGTTGCCTCCCATACATGCCTGGATTGGGGATCGAACCAGCAGTGTAGGTGTACATGCCCTGACAAGGAACTGAACCGGCAACCTCTTGGTTATGGAGCAATGCTCCAACCAACCAAGCCACACTGGCCAGGGCTGACCTATCTAATACTTAATTAAAAAAAAAAAAAAAGTTAGTTGTTAAATTTTTTTTAAAAATTCCAATAGATTAAAAAATGTAACAATGCCAAAATTAAAATACGTGTCAACACCAATATGAACTGGCTTGTTTACTTATGTGTCACCAGGGCCTAGGTCAAGTGACCAGAACTCAATGAATGCTTTGCATGCACTCAACATACAAGAATGAACGGCCATGAAGCAAGCATCTTATTAGAGCTGACTACCTGCATGAGAGCAGAGCTCCTTTTGGGCTCCAAGAAGTGATTACTTGTTTACAATAACCCAAAATGCTGAGCATTTTATACACTATACATTCAGAAATTTTTAAAGTAGTCATTGGACATAGAAAAACAAGTGAGTAGAAAGGTGAGGAACCAATATAAAATAAAGAAATGAGGACTCAATGATTAATTTTCATTTTTAACAATAAAAATTGAGCCCAAAAATGTAACCCTAGGTTAAAAACAACACACTAGCATTTTTATATCAATTAAAAGTGCCATTTCCTAACATTTACAGTATTTGGTTCTTCAGGTCACATTGTTCAACTTTTCAATAAAAAAGTTTAAAAATCATTTTTAAGAAATTTCAATAAAACTTGCTCATGACAAAATGAGTGAAGAGAATCAAGATATATAAAAACAGAATTTAAGTATCATCTGTTTTGAGAAAAATAAGTGATAGCAAAGTTATACCTCGAAGGTATACGGGATATTAGACAGCAATACCCCAGAGTGCTCTAACACGCCAACAGGCTCATTATCGAGAATACAGCCTTGCAGATATTCACTCCAATCGCCAAGTCATTCCATTGGTGCCACCATCCCGGAGAGTCCCATGGATCTTGTGCTTTAGCTCTACTCACTTGAGTAAACCAAATGCTACCAATCAATTGAGAGATGTGGAAGAATATCGTATGTTGGCCAAAATAACCATGCATTTTTTTCGAACAACCTCTGCTATTGCCTGAGAGTATAGGGGGCTTCCATGGTGTAGAGATAGTGCCCAGCTTCATTAGGGGCCTCACAAGCCTGGGGTTGGATCTCAGCTCTAGTTTACCATATCAATGGGAGCATTCCTACTACCTTTTATGAACTCTAGTTCTTTCATTTATAAAATGAGGAAAATAATAATACATGTTAAATGTTTGCAGTTAAGATAAAGATAAAACCACCTGAAGCACTGAAGAGCTTCTATCAAAGGAATTAACCTAATTAAATGTTAGTTTCCTTCTCCATGTGCATCTGTCCACACATCACCGCTAGATGAATGAAAACAGAAGAAATGATGAAAGATGTCAGTCATTAGTTCTAACCAGATGAAAGGAACAGCAATTACTCTCCCACTTATTAGTTGTGCTACTAGAAATAGTTTTAATCTCTCTGTGTCTAAGTTTCCTCTTCAATACAGTAAGAATAATAGCAGTATCTTTCTTAGAGGGCTGTTTACAGATGAAATGCATCAACACTTGCAAATCTCTTAGAATAGTGCTTGGAATATAGTAACTGTTACAGAAGTATTGGCTGCGGGAGAGGAGAATACAAATACTTATTGTACATATGCAATTTACACGAACAAGGTATTTTCTGGGCATGGCTGCAGTCACTGGGGCTTAAGGAATCGTCTGCCAGGAGTGTGACTTTTCAAAGAGGAATATATATTACTTATTTTAAAAAAATATTTGGGACTAGAGCAATGATCTGTTTCTTTGAACAAACACAGATTGAGCATAATCCGTTCAAGCCTTGTGAAACTAAGTGGCCACTGAAAAAATAAGTTGTATATTAAGAAGTGTTCCTATACTCTCATTATACTTCAGCAAATCACAGTGAACAAACACATCCTCTCACTAGAACTGAACAGACTGAAGTAGTCTAGAATTACTGCTCACCCATATAGATTGTCCCTATCTACAAAAGATTATATTTTTCAGCTCCCTCAAAGACAGCTTGGCCATGTATGCACTAGCCAATGAAATATAAATGGAAATGACAGATATCATTATCCAGCAGACACTGAGAACCAGTATGTAGCAGCTTGCCAGGTTCTTTTTCTCTCTGGCACAAGATCAACAATGATACAGAGAGGCTTTTCCATGAGCTTGGGTTCCAGGATGAACGCGGTGTCTAAGATCTTGAGCCACAGCTGACCTGAGTGGACAAGCATTGTGGTCGGGAGATGAACCTTGATTGTGGGAACCTCTGAGGTTTGAGGATCATCTGTTACCACAGCATAGCCAGGCTCATTCTGATTTAAGATAACGTGAGTTTGCTGTGACAAAAAGGCCTAAATTAAATAAAGTCAATACCACACAGTTAACTTTTCCTTGCCTAACCAGGATAATCCTTTTTTTTTTTTTTTTTTGGCTTCTGATTCATCAATTCATTTAAAAAGGAGGCAAAGGGCGGCGTGGCAGTGCCCATTCATGGCTGCTGTCATTTAGGCACCCAGAAGTTTCTGCTGAGGTCTGAGCAGAAGAGGGAAAAGTAGCTTAAACAGGCTACAGTGCACTCCATCTCCCAGTGACTGATACAAAGGCGGGCACATCGAGTGGTGTTTCTGAGGGAAGACAGGGGCAAACACAAATTCTGCAAAGGAAAACGAGCAACTTTGCAAAGCTATGAAGGAGTTACTAGACTTAATGTCAGTGCTAATGAAAATTCGACAAAAACACTTTCTCGAGAGCTTTAAAAAGGAAGACTAGAAACTCGAGTGTTCAAATGAAATGTCAATGGAAAGTGTTCTTAATAAATCAAATCATACCTCACACCACTGAAGGCTTATAATTTATCATGAATCTCCTTTAGTGGAGGACAAGGCACTCCTGTTACAACAACAGAAGACAGAAGTACAGATTGCTGAATCAGGGTTCAATGCCTGTAAATGCTTAGGTAGCTTGGTAGTCACTGGTTTGAACCTGGTTTGCTCAAGTACCCTCTCTAATGGCTTCCATAAGGGTTAGAGCTTATCAACGCCTCACCAGGGCCCTTACCCCAGCCCTGTGCCTCCCTGTGGCAGAGAGGACCAGAGGGATACACAGAATACAACTACCATCAAATTCCTACAATACTAATGATACTGGGCCTTCAGGGGTAGAAGCAGGCGGCAGGCCAACTTAAGAAACTTTACTGAGTCAATCAAAAGTTAAGTGTAAACATTGCTTCCCACGCCACCCCCCCGGAAACTATTCAGGGCTAAAGTTCTTATTGAAACCAAATAGTTTCCATAGGCAGCTTGGCAACACAAAAGCTATTAATCTCAACAGAATTCAAACAGCCATGAGGAAAAGAAAAAGAATAGTCTTCCATACAACTAACAAAGCAAAAGTCCTTGTACCTTCAATTTCCTAGTAATTAAAAATCCAGCACGTCCTTACTGATGTAATCTACTTGGTCATACAGTACATTCTCAGGGCTGACAAAACAAAGCAACACTTGTCTTTAATTTCTAAT